ATACACTCGAAGTGGTTGACATCAACTGTGAGGGGCGACCACAATTAGCAAATGTAATAAAATTTTTTATTTCCGAATGACACAACAACGATATCTCCTTTTCTTTATCGTAACAAAGTGATGGAAGAACACTAGGGGTTTTCGTTAATATTCAATACCATATATTTGATTCATATCTGTACGATAGAAGTTGGTGTTCCCCAATGTAGAGTTCTTTGGCCTATATTATACATTATATATACTGCAGCCTCGGCACTCACTGAAGCCCGTCAAGTGCATGACATGAAAATAAAAACACCATCAACCGCCGAAGATCGCTTCATCAGTTATAAAAATCCAGTACGCCGAAAAGTACTAAAATCCGTTCGCGGCTGTCACAGGCATCTTATACCGGGATGAATGTCCTAGAAAAGCATCTTCAACGATTGGGGATCATTTCCTAATCAGCGAAGTGCGCCTGGAAAAATGCAAAATTAAAGCCAATTTGCAAAATCTTAAACACGTTACATTTACATTACACTAATAATAAAAATAGCTAACTTTAGTTGGCTTTAGCATAAAAACACGATAGCAAATTAATTATTTACCTTAAGAAGAAGAAACGACCCGGTTTCATTTGATGTTAGTTCTTTGCTCCAAATATGAAAAAGAAAAAGAAAGTAATGACGGACTTTTGTTGACTCTCCTATAATCGCGTGCTCCAACGTAGGCTAGTACCTGCCATTGATGGCTATTTTTACTGTAACTATATTTAAAAGAAGAGGTATGCAATTAACGTTCCATTGCCAACAGCGCTTCCATTGATATACGAGTACATATAAATATATATATATCTCCCCGACATTGAAAGAGAGCTCAACTCAATACTTAGAGCTTTTTGTTTTATATGGAATTTCACTGGTGGTAGATTGAAATATAACATCGTTATAAGTATTTAGTGCTTGTTCAATTTTTTTAGTTCCTTATCACCTATAGTATTGATTATTCTAAGCTTTTCAATTAAAGTTTACCAGTAGTATATTTAATAAAATACACCATTGATTAAAACTAACATTATTTATATCTTGATCTTGGTCGATTTTTAATTTTATTGATTATAGATTTAAAGCAAAACATTTTCGTCAACCAGTGTAATGCTTTCACTTTCTACCATAGCAAGCTTCTCAAATTTCGTACATTGGAGGGGAAATTTTAAATGCTCCCAGCCGGTACTGCATCGAGTACTTCACTACATGATTTAGCCAGCGTAGCCGTTGTTTCTTGATTCGCTGAACTATGTTAATGTCACCGTATATCTCATACAGCTCATCGTCTGCGGTATTCGCCATTCCCAACTCGTAAGAGACCATATAGTAGAGTTATGTCTTCGTCGAAGTAGCACCTGTTGGCAAGAGTGGCTCTGCGTTGGATTTCCTGGCTGACATTATTGTAGGTGTTAATACTAGTTTCAAGATAGACGAAGTTATCTACGAATTCGAAGTTATAACTGTCAAAATGAGTCTTGGTTTTCTGGCCCAATAGAACTCACCGCGGGGTGTTGAGGCAAACGATTTTAATATCATCGACATTTACCTGCAGCTGTATACTTCTGTTCAGCTCTGCAGCTTTCAAAAATTTCTCCAGCAATAAATTACAAACTTCGAACGATAAGGAATCACCTTGTCTGTAAACTCGTTTGGCATCGAACGACTCGAAGAGGTCCTTCCCGATTCTGACGGAGCTCTTGGTGTTGCTTAATGTCAGCTGGAATAGCTGTATAAGTTTTGTAGTGAAAGCGAATTCAGACATACGTTGAAGAGAAAACTCCTTTCTTGCTGTTTAAAGCTGCTTTAAAATTGACGAAGGGATGGTGTATGTCGATCGTCTTTTCACGGAACTTTTAGAAAATTTAGCTCATGGTGAATATAAAGACATTGGTTGATTAACGAAATCTAACTGATCGAACTGATAAGGTCTAATCTAGGGCTTAGGCCTTTTACACAATACGCTCGATAGGACCTTATAATGATTATCCCATGGTAATTGCTTTTTTGTGCATTGGGCAGACCAAACTTAGGTTAAAATTGTTGGGCGTGCTTTCTCCCCACATATTTTGCAAAGAAGCTGGTGCATGCACCTTCACCGCCGTATTTGAATATCTTGGCGGGGCAATTGGGGAATCGAATTCGCTATCTCCTGTTGCTGCACTTCCACTGCCGTTCACGCCTCTGGTTTACACAAGAGTTTTCTCCGGTTTTGAAACCTTCCGTAAGTCACCGTATCTTTTCGTAGAATTTTCGAGCATTACCCTTGTCGGCCAGCTTCTCAAACTCTTCATACTCAGATGTTTCGGTCTCTTTCTTTTATCAGCAATTAAAGCTTGCTTTTCTCTACAACTCTCGGTGTTTGTCTGTTTTTTATCCACTGCAGTTAAATATTCCTCATCGTACAAACTCTTTTTCTAGCACTGCTGAAATTTAATTGATTCCGTAGCGGCGGTACGTAGGGTGTTTGAAATGCCGTTCCTTAATGCCATATATCAAGTTGCCGGTGAGTGCCCTCAAAAGAAAGGTGTGCAAGCCGATCAGTAAATCGTTCCGAAGTCTGTTGCGCAGCTTTTCGAAGTCGAACCTTGCTTGTTTTTGTTGACGGATGTTTTTTGATACAAAAAGGTGTGTGCATAGCTTCGCTGCGATGAGAGATGTTTTTGTGGACTCTCCCCCGGTACCACATACAATGCATCAGTGGTCAATCACTTCTCATAGTTCGGATATTCTAAAAGCGGGTCGGGTAGTATTAATGGCTTAGTTGCACTATTTATTTTATTGCCCTGTTTTAGGCAGCTAATCAATGGTTTAGTAATATGTGAAAAGATTCAGATAAATTTTCGAAAAAACTCCAGCTAAACCGAGGAATTGTTTCATTACCTTCTCCATTTTAGAAATGGAGATAATTTAAAATTGATTCTACTTTATTAGGATTAGGCTTAATACCTGCTGACGTTATGACATAAGCGAGAAATTACGTATACCTTTTGAAAAAATCCCTTTTATCCAAAGGAATCTCCAGATTTGTATCATTCAGCGTATGAAATACTCTCACTAGTGACTCTAAGTGTTCCTGACTAAAGAACTACAATGTTGTCTAAAAACTACAATGTTGTTTAAATAAATCATACAGTATTTTCCTGTTACCCGATACAAACTGTATTCATCAACCTTTGGAAAAAATACAGTGCATGACATTCTTAGTAATTCAAAATGTCCACTAAGGAAGGAAAAGTTATTTTCTATACATTTGATAGAACCCTGAACCAAATCTATCGTGAAAATACCCAATTTTTCAAGAATTTCTCCATGTTTGCTATAGGATGCCGGCCATCTATAGAAATTGTACTTACCTTACGGAAGCCGACAACCATTCTCCATTTCTATTTTCCAGAAACTTCTGGCTTCTTTGGTACCACCCAAATTGGTACTGAATATGGGAGAAAGGGAATTTGTCCCCTTATTAAATGTTTTTAAGCTCTCCCAACAGTTTTTATAATTTATGTTACTCTAAAGAGTTGAAGTCTAATATATAAATATAGAATTGAAAAAAGTGTGTTAGAGTTGAGAGTGCAAATTTTCTTTTTCATTAGAATTATTGAAGTATGGCTCGTTTCTTAAATCTTAATATATAAAAATGAGTGTTTGTTTGTTAGTGACGGAGAACGGCTGAACCAATTTTAAGGAAGTTTTCAGAGGTTGTTCGTTGTGGATCTGAGAAGATTTAAAAAACTTATAAATACTTCTTATACTTAGTCGTTCTGTCTCTATTGACAGGTACACATCAACTGAATACTGGGGAAATAATCGACGATATCTCAAAATTGAGAAGCATACAAGCAATTGCAATTGCTGGAACATGATAATCACGGGAATCACACGATGGACGATTGTGACGCGGCTATGGAGGCAGAATGCTTGATTCGCGGACTCTTTTGAGATCCAACGATTGGCCATTTCAGTTCAAACGTATTCTGTTTCCAGTACAACTTTTATTTGTGATGACAATCGATAGGTCGTAAGAACAGTCACTGGAGGTGTGTGGCATAAATCTGGAAATGCAATGTTTTATTTCAAACGGTTGGAAAACCACATTTACGCACCGGAACTGAAAACACAAAATGTCGTTTATCAAGCTGCGTTACATTGGAAAAATGTTGACAAATCTTTAATAAGCGATATTCAACACAAAATAAACTAAAATTTTTTTCAAACAGCATAATTTCATGCAGGACAGTGCCTGTGGGGTAATTTTTATAAATGGAGTAGACTGGAAATCGATTAATACTCGTATTAGTTGAAAATGTTGGCTTTAGAGTTAAGTAATTTTTTTGAATTGACTTATTCCTATAAAGCTTTCTATCATCTTCAAATATATTATTTTCTATTGATATATTAATTGCTGGCTTGACCCAATAGCAAAGTTGATATTAACTAATGCTGTTTAACGCTTTCGACCCCAACGTTGCCTGAGAGCAACTTCTCGAAATCATATTCTTACCACAGGCGCTATTTTTGTTTTAATTTGTTGAGCCGGTGTGATAACGGTAGTCTAATAAATTAGCGTGAAGTGTGATCAAATAAAAAATCAACTCTCAATCATTTAGCAAAGTTATTTGAGAAAGTGTGCAGCAGTGTCAGCTAAAAGTGGTGCTTTTGTTAGAAAAATCATTTTAAAAAGTGTTTTTTTCTTAAATAAATTTGTCATTAAATACAATTGTGTGAATCAACTAGTGTTCAGCAATAGTTAAGTAAAATATATGTGCAAGTCATTTTCTGTTATTGTAAACCAGCATCAGGTGAGTAATTTTTACATTTGTTAAGTTGCCTGTGAGCAACTTTGGGCAATTGTGGTAATATATTTTTATACATATATTAATGAGACCTCAAGACAAAGATTTGTCAAAAGACGACATAGAACGAGTTTAAAACTTCGATTGGGACGTTTCTTCGGATGATGAAAGTGATGATGGTATGGAAGATGTGTCTGCAGTGCTGGAGCAAAATTTGGAGGGAATTATGGATAGAGCGGAAAGCATAGAAATTGAACTTCTTGACAATCTAATAGAAGAAGATAATACTCAAGAACCTCGCTCAATTCAAAATATGTGTATCGAAGAAATTGATTCGAAGGAAGAGTACACCTTGGAAATTCACGAAGTAATGAAACCAGTGGACTATTTCTCACAATTTTTTGATGATCGATATATCGATTTGATAACTCAGCAAACTGACTTATATGGACTTCAGAAGCTGGGAATTGAACTTAAAAGCACCAAAGTAGAAATACAACGATATATAGGCACTCTGCTATACTTGGGTGTTATTAAACTGCCCCAATTTAAAATGGCGTGGTCTCAAAATTTGAAGCTAACGGCTATAACGGACTCATTATCTCGCAATAGGTTTGAAAAAATTAAACTGTGTTTACATTTTAACGATAACAGCAAACAACCAAAAAAAGAAGATTCATACTATGACAAATTGTACAAGATACGTCCTCTACTAGACATCGTTAGAGAAAACTTTAATAATCTCCCTCAGGAAGAACATCAAAGTGTTGATGAGCAAATAATTGCGTTCAGAGGTATGTATGATTTATAATATACATTGTACGGTCTCTTGAAAGGTTTCCTGAATTTTTTGGTTAAAGGTCGATCAAGGTACAAACAATACAATCCAGCTAAGCCCAATAAATGGGGCTTGAAAATGTTTGCACGTACTGGAACATCTGGACTGGTTTACGATTTCACGCTATATGTTGGTGAAGGTACCTGCCCATTATATGGACTGGGGATCTCTTCGGATATAGTTCTTTACTTGGCGAAAAATTTACCCAAACAGAAGATCTTCAAACTCTATTTTGATAATTGGTTTACATCGGTAAGCCTTCTGATAGCATTGAAGGAAATGGGCATATTCGCAACAGGAACTATTCGCAAAAACCGTATAAACAACTGCCAGTTACTTTCAGAGACTGAGCTCAAAAAACGGGGAAGAGGATCTTTCGACACTAATTGTGAAATCAATTATAATATTGTGTGTCTAAGATGGTTCGACAGTAAACCGGTCCAACTTATATCTTCGTATATTTATCATCAACCAGTTGGGGTTTGCAAACGTTGGAGCCCGAAAGAAAAAACCTACGTCGATATTCAAAGGCCTGCAATAGTAGCTTGTTACAATAAAGGCATGGGTGGTGTAGATTTGGCAGATTTGTGATGGAACTTTACAAAGTTAAACACCGCTCAAGGAAGTGGTATATATGAATCTTCTATTGGTATCTTGGAACGTGCGTTACAAATGCATGGTTACTTTATAGAAAACAATTAAATACGTTATATCCGAAACAGAAACACATTCCACTCATAAAATTTCAACTAGAAATCGCTTCTTTGGTACCACCCAAATTGGTACTGAATATGAGAGAAAGGGAATTTGTCCCCTTATTAAATGTTTTAAAGCTCTCCCAACAGTTTTTATAATTTATGTTACTCTAAAGAGTTGAAGTCTAATATATAAATATAGAATTGAAAAAAGTGTGTTAGATTTGAGAGTGCAAATTTTCTTTTTCATTAGAATTATTGAAGTATGGCTCGTTTCTTAAATCTTAATATATAAAAATGAGTGTTTGTTTGTTAGTGACGGAGAACGGCTGAACCAATTTTAAGGAAGTTTTCAGAGGTTGTTCGTTGTGGATCTGAGAAGGTTTAAAAAACTTATAAATACTTCTTATACTTAGTCGTTCTATCTCTATTGACAAGTACACATCAACTGAATACTGGGGAAATAATCGACGATATCTCAAAATTAAGAAGCATACAAGCAATTGCAATTGCTGGAACATGATAATCACGGGAATCACACGATGGACGATTGTGACGCGGCTATGGAGGCAGAATGCTTGATTCGCGGACTCTTTTGAGATCCAACGATTGGCCATTTCAGTTCAAACGTATTCTGTTTCCAGTAAAACTTTTATTTGTGATGACAATCGATAGGTCGTAAGAACAGTCACTGGAGGTGTGTGGCATAAATCTGGAAATGCCATGTTTTTCACACGGTTGGAAAACCACATTTACGCACCGGAACTGAAAACACAAAATGTCGTTTATCAAGCTGCTTTACATTGGAAAAATGTTGACAAATCGTTAATAAGCGATATTCAACACAAAATAAACTAAACTTTTTTTCAAACAGCATAATTTCACGCAGGACAAAGCCTGTGGGGTAATTTTTATAAATGGAATAGACTGGAAATCGATTAATACTCGTATTAGTCGAAAAATGTTGTCTTTAGAGTTAAGTTATTTTTTTGAATTGACTTATTCATATAAAGCTTTCTATCATCTTCAATTACATTATTTTCTATTGATATATTTATTGTTGGCTTGACCCAATAGCAAAGTTGATATTCACTAATGCTGTTGTTGGCAATTCTTGTCTTGGGTTTTTTAGGCTTATTTAATTAAGATCGATATTTTTTTATATTAAATATATATATCGATATATTATAATGGCTAAGTGGAGTTGCCTTCATCTTTAACATTAATGGCGTCTTTAACTCTACAAACATCTGTATTTATTTCCTCACTCAATAGTCTTACTCTGTTTTTATATTTGATATTACTTATTAATAAAATTAGAGTTAAATCTGGTGTGTGTTCTCTAAATGCATTCTCGTCCAGTCTTTTGGTTGTTCTCGCTTGGCTACATCTAGCGCACCTCTTCTGCTCGTATAATGAATATTTATATTATATAATTGACTATTTATTTCGTATTGATGTTTTTCCAACAAATGGAAGGACCTATAGTTTACACCGAGTCGCCTCCGAACGGCTGATGATTTTTTAATAGGGATGCAATTTTTAATGTGAGAAATACACTAGGAAGAGCAGGCATTCCTGCCGACCGTAAGTACAAAATTTGACATAAATCATTATTTATAATAATTTTCTATAAATATTGGATGTTTTTCGAACCAGGATTTGAACCAGGGTCCTCCGAATGGCAGTATGCTAACCAATCGGCTACCGCTGCCGAAATTGATACAAAATTATTTGACGTCTTCTATCATTTTTTGCGGACGTGGTATGATATGATACCATACGCACAAAATACAAAGCCAAATAGTTTCGATCGCCATCGAACAGCTGAATGAGTTGAAAACTTTGTACAGCAAGTTCTCTTGTTTCTACTTCCATTGTACTGTTCTCTTCGTTTATTTTGATCGAGCTCAATAATGTACTTAGTCCGATTCTTCCATAAACTATTGTTTTTGTATTGTGTTGAATCTCGGCGTTGTACAATTCTTCTCTTCATATGCTAACTTTAGTATGGGGCATTTAGTTGTATGCTTAACATGCGTTACACGGAGTTTTATAAAGTTCAGTTTTTTTATTTGTGATTTAAAATCTTTCTAAAATCCAATTATTTGTTTATTTTTTGGCGTATGTAAATCACATTTTGCCTAAGTTATTTAAAACATTTTAGCTGTGATCACTTTCCAAAATAACGACAACATTTAAAAGGTAGTGCTTCGTCATTTCCCCTTTCACCCGAAGTTAAATTGGAAAGTCCCAAATTTCTTGTTGTTTAAGCGTCCGCTTAAATGCTTAAACCACCATATATAAAAAAATTGTAACTGCCGTGCGCGTGGAATTACCCGTCTTTTCCCACTATTTCCGTGTGCCCCATCACGCGTCAATTCCTCTATCCTTTTTGGCCAAATTTCGTTAGCCGATCGACCGCTTAGCGGCGGCCGTTCGAGCTAAGGAACAACCACTCTAAAACCAACAGTCCTCGCTCGCGCACGGAAGCTTTGAACCGCGGCTTCGATGCTTTGTATTAATACTCATAATAGTGAAAAAAAATTAATTTAGATAAAATATAATAATATATAAAGATATATATAGAGATTTGATTGGGAAGAAACCCATCATTAAACTCATTTGTGAAATAACATTAATTGAATATTTATTAAAATTTGTGAAACAATTTTAAATCAGAAAAAGTGTGTTTTATTTAAAATGTGTGCCCGCTCGAAAGCCGGGATCCCTTTACTTCCCCTAAAGTCCTTGTCGACTTGATCATTGGCCCTTCGAGGCCAAAAATGAGCCAAACTATGGTACACAGCCACTGCTATTAAAAACAAAGTTGTGTGAAAAAAAGACAAAATTTAAAGTTCAAAAAGGATAAAAACAAACCTCCGTACCCCCGTACGATCGAAAAACTTAAAAATTATATAACCATCTAAAATATGTTGTGCTAAACAATGCAAAAATTAAGTGGTGTAAATTACAAAAAAAAAACATATAACCATAAGTGAAAAAAAATAAATAAAAAATAAAAATAACTAAAAAAGCTGGTGGCGCAAACAAAAAAAATTTTAATATTTACAAAAAAATTACTGAAACAAAAGCATATTGCGAAAATAATATTGTGAAAATACATTCAAAATTTTTTTTTTTTGAAAATATATTAATATACAAAAATATGTACATATACACATAAACAAGTGTTAGGAGTGCACATACATACATATACAAAAAAAAGTCACATACAAAAAAAACTTGTTAAAAAATAAGTACATATGTATTTACATAGACATACATATATGAAGTAATCCAAAAATTGAAAAAGTGAACAACACATTACTAACACATCACCACAGGATCTTTCCACAAACACCACAATATCACACTTACATACATATATAAAAAGGGAAGTAACCACAGCTTGGAAGCCTAAGTAGTAAGTAGGCAATCTTTTTCATTTCCTTAAAATTATATACATAAACGCGAATACAGCATTCCTACCGTATACATTCCGCTTATGTACATAGATACATAACAAGTACAAATACCAAATCTAATTGCAGTTATAAAGCCTACTTGCATTAATAGGTCAAATATTATAATTATTTGCATTGTCAGCTGTTCTCCATGGTTCAATGACCCATAAAATACAGCGTGAAGAAACAATAGCAGAAAATTAATAAAGTGAAAGATATTCAACACTTTGCTAAAAGAGCGCAGCTTTAAAGAGCTAACTTTACTGCAAGTGATCTATTCACTGCATTTTTCCAATTTCCGCTTTGTGCGATATTCGCTCTCGACATTACAAGAGAAGCATATATTGTGTGTATGTGTATCTCCTGAGCATTAGGCACATACGCGCACCTAGGTACTCTTTATTCTGCTCATATTCTTCTTCAACATATTATTGTTTTAGGCGCTCTCTTCGTTGTGTGAGCAGCTGAGGTCAAAATATTTGCTGACATAAATATACACACGTAAATACCAATATAGCTGTGTATATTCAAACAGCTGTTGTATCTGCTTACGATTGTAATATGCATGCATACAAGTTTACATGTCCATGTTAAAATCTTGACAACGAGATACAAGAACGTTCAAAAAAACCCAATAGGGAATTGTTCTGTACGTTTTTTTTTAACGAAATATATCATTTCGATAAAAATATTAAATAATTATATAACATTAATTTATTATACACGTATATAACCCACGTTTAAAAAAGTGAAAGTTTTTGTGATTTTTTTTTTATTATTGGCGAAAAGAATTTTTTCCGGAAATTTAATTTAAATAACGAAACAACGAAACAACAAGTTGTGATTTTACAAAAAAAAAATACGCAAACACAGCCACACATTTTTTTTACATTTTTCTGTGGCATAAAGAGCATTTTTTTTCTGTAATAAAGCACGAAGTGCGAACATCCGTCATTCGTATAAACTCAATGCGAGTTTTACGGTTTTATCTTGCGACTTTTAAATACATTTTGCCTTTTAAATGCCAATTGGTCACAGTCCTACCAAAGGTACTAAGGAATCCAAAATGTCCGATTCCCAAACAAAGAAAGGATCTTCACTCCAAGCCCTAAGCACTAAAAGAGAATCGTCACAAACGCGCAGATCTAAACAGATCGATCCTCCCGCGCAACTACTAATTTGATTAAGTGACAATGTCATTAGATACTGTTCTCGATTCGGTGATTCCCCTATTCAGGATCACACGGAAACGCACCTAAAAATTAAAAACAAATCGCTAGAGATGGGCAGAATTGAAAACTGTCTATAAAGATGTTTGTTCAAAGCCCGATGAATGTCTGCCTGAAAATTTTAAACTTTCAGCAGATAATAATTATTTCACATGCCACGATACATATGAGCTTACAAAGATGAGGATAGCAGAGCAGCT